TTATTATTAATGATTCTTAAAATATAATTTTTCTTTCATAGTTGTAAAATGCACAAATAAACGCCTCCAAGTTTCTATATTGATTCGTACTTATGGTAAAAGAACAGACGTCATTATTGATAGAAAACGGGAAATTATGGTAAGAAATTTTCTTTAATCAATACGTTGTACGTAAGCCTTCAATATATCTAATTAACAATTCTTAAACGACTACATAGACCATAAGATATTTATCTAAGCTTGGACTAGTCCGTCCAGTATATTGTCGATTTAATAATGGAATTGTGTATGGTTATACTCCTGGTCGTGCGCTTTCCGTACCAGACATGAGTAATCAGCGCATATGTCTGCTCATTGCGGAACATATGGCAGTTTGGCATAAGGTAAACTTCTCTAATGAAAAGGAATCGACATTATTTCCTGTTTTATGGAAGTGGTTAAGAGAAGGTAGCATTTCATATCAATTTCATCATTACTTTTAACATCATTTACAGATTAATTCTTATATATTATCAAAAATTTACTGCTAGTACCAAAGTCATATATCGATCCAAAAACTGATGAGAAATTTCAAAAAAATTTTAAATTGGAGGAACTCTTCAATGAAGTATGTACGTTGTAAATTTTTATTAACGATAAAATTTTTTAACAACTAATAAAATGGTTTATTTAGTTGACTGGTTTAGAAAATGAACTAGTAAAAATAGAGTCTCCTATTGTGTTTTGTCATAATGACCTCTTGAATGGAAATATTATTTATGAAGAATCCAGAAACAAGATTTCGTTCATAGATCTGGAATATGGATCAATGAATTATAGATCATTTGATATTGCGAATCATTTCAATGATTTCGCAGGTAAATCTATGACGTTATGGTGCATCGTGCATTGTGCATTTAGTGCACCTAGTGTTGTAAGCCGACTAGGCAGGCTGCAGCTAAGCCAACTAAGCCAGCTGAAATAATATGGTCAGCTGGCTAATGCAGCTAATAGTTACATAATTTATGAATAGTAGGATTATGATAAATTCCGAGAAGGAAAATGAATAAACATAAAATACTTTGAGAAAATTTCCGAAGTATTCCGAAAAGTAAACTATTAGTCTGCTGCTAGCCATCTGCTTAGCCGATGTTTTAATCGACAGGCTTAGCCAGCCGACTAAAGTCACGTGGCTTACAACACTAAGTGCACCCCTACTATATATCAATTTTACTAGGATAACCCTGTCGTGTAACTAAGGAAAATACTGCAATTTTACCCTAATATCTTTATATTTATTTGGCTATTAAAACGTAGAGATGCACGAGTGCACTGTTTAAATTTTTTCTTATGATAAATAGGATGTATCAATGATAATTTCCGTTAATGATTTCCGCCCATAATTTCTAGGGTTTGAATGCGATTATAATTTATACCCATCTAATGAATTTCAAAAAAAATGGTTGAGACATTATCTTTGTTCATATAATCCTGGTAAAGTTATTTGTTGATGCATTTATGCTGTTTTCATAGAATATAACTGTTTTCATTTAAATTAATATTTTGTTTGCATTGTTTAATAGGTGCCACAATTACTGAAGAAGAAGTTAATAAATTATATCAAGAGGTCAATAAATTCGCGTTAGCATCCCATTTCTTTTGGGGTGTGTGGGGGTTGGTAAATGTCATTTTTTATTTAACTGACAAAACGAAGCGTTATCGAACGAACGCTTACTAATAGACATATTTTTAGGTTCGGGCCCAGTCCTCAGAAATTAATTTTGACTATATAGAATATGCGACTTTAAGGTTTAAAGAGTATTATAATAAAAAAGAAGAGTTTCTAGCATTATAAATGTTATA